GCACCCATGTCATGCAATGCCCACGGAGGTCAGAAGAGGCTGTCAGATCCCCTGAGACTGGAGTTATGGACAGTTGTTAGCTGCCATGTGGGTGCTAGGATTCAAACTCAGGTCTTCTGCAAGAACAACCAGTGTTCTTAACCACTGAGCCATCTCTCCAGTGCCAGAAAGCACTTTTTAAAATGGCTCTGTATGGGGGCTGGAGAAATGGCTCAGTGCTTAAGAGCACTGACTACTCTTGCAGAGGACCCAGGTTTGATTCCCAGCGTCCACATGGCAGCTACAAACCGTCCTTAACTCCAGTTCCAGGGGAATCTGAAGCCCTCTTCTGACCTCTGTGACATTGCACGACACGGGTGCACTCACATACATGCAGGCAATACTCTCATACATATAAAATAAAAATAATAAATACAATATTTTTTAAAAAGGCTCTGTATGGACATGTCTTTCTAATAATGGCACTATTTTCAAAGATGTTTACACTGCTCACTGTTCTTGAACCTTATGGAGCTGTGAAGTGGCAGAAAGCACCACATCCAGGCTGCAGAGTCTGGAGCAGTGGTAGAGCCTCTACTGAATAGCCACACCCAGGGACACACCTTGTCTACTACTGCGTCCCTCTAACTCCAGAGATGATGCGGTACAGTGAATGGGAGACACATCAGAGATGGGTATGGCAGCCCTCAGGCACAAAGCCCAGTGAATCAAAGTACTTTCTTCTTGGTGCTTCTCACTCATCAGAATTAAGGCCATTTTTTTTTTTTTTTTTTTTTTTTTTTTTTTTTTTTGGTTTTGTTGAGACAGGGTCTCCCTGTGGCTACAGTGGCTTGGAACTGCCTATGGCTCAGAAGGTGAAAGCACTTGTCATGAAAACTTGATGACCTGAGTTTGGTCACTAGAACCCATGGTGGAAGGAGAGAACCAACTCCTGAAAACTATCTATGACCTCCACACACACACTGAGAGGTGTTCATGCCTGCCCTCATACATACATCATAAACATGCACACACACAATGATAATAAAATGTTTTAAAGACTATTGGAGGAGGGTGCTGGACAAGATGGCTCAGTGATTAAGAGTGCTTACTACTCTTGCAGAGGATCCCAGCACCCACATGGCAGTTAACAACTGACTGTAATTCCAGATTCGGAGATCTGATGCCCTCTTCTAGTTTCTACAAGCATTGCATTCATGGTGCACTTGTATATGGGCAAGCAAAACACTCATACACATAAAAAATAAAACTTTAAAATGCGTCTTTTCTATTAGTAAGTACACATATTTTATCATAGAAAATTTGGGAAATAGAAGTAACAAAGAAGAAAATACAAACTATCCATTATCGTACAATCTAAAAAACAACACTAGTTTTATTTTTTATTTTATGTGTATGTGTGTATTGCCTGCATGTATGTGAGTGCACCTGTGTCATGCAATGCCATGGAAGTCAGAAGAAGGCTTTGGATTCCCCTGGAACTGGAGTTAAGGATGGTTCATAGCTGCCATGTGGAGGCTGGGAATTGAACCCAGGTCCTCTGTAAGAGCAGTCAGTGCTCTTAACCGCTGAACCATCTCTCCAGCCCCATAACACTACTTTTAAATATTCAGTTTAAATCCTTCTGACTACATGGATATTTTGTCTGTGGATGAACACACGTGAGCTGTAGAGACATTTGAAAATGAATGAGGAAATGCATAATAGACTTCTCCTTAGATCATTCTTCCCATCCCACTTCCCAGTCCATTGTTGTTGCCGGCTTCCAGGAAAGAGTTGAGATTTGCAGCCATCAGAAATCTCAAAACTCAAAATCCATACACTCAGCTATGCTGGCTGGCAAACAACCTGTCATGAGCAGGGCCAGGGTCAAAGATTTGCCTGCCTGCGCAGAAAGAGCAAACATAGATGGTATTGATACTGGTCTGCCCAGCCCTGTGCTTCATTGTACTGTGTCCGTTCCTGAGAGGAACGCTGTTCTGACTTTGGTCCTTTCCTTTCAGGAGCTGTTGTTGGGTCCCTTTTCTGAGAGGATGCTGGGCCACCTTCTTTCCCCATCCTGACTCATCTCATCTCCCCTCTTTTCTTTCTGGCGGCCCACTGGCCCCAGCAACACTCTGCTTTGTTTAGCCATTTTTTCAAATGTTTTCATGTAAATTGATGACACTTTTTGTTCTGGGTAATTTTTGAAGTAGCTGAAAAAGCCACAATCCCATCAAAGAAAGGATGTGGCTCAATGTTTCCCTTCAGGGACCATATCGGTCCATGCAACCCAGAACACTATAGACCTCCAAGGCAAAATGTTCCGTGGTACCTTTCATCCTAAGTTCACAGAAGTGTCAAAACTCAGCTCTCCTCACTTGGTGCCGACGCTTTAACAAGAAAGTTTCTTTACTTTGGGATGATGATTTTGTTGTGTTTCTGTTTTTAGGGACAGGAGCACATTAGTTTCTTTTTTTGCTGTGGGATACCTGACAAGAAGCAACTTCAGAGAGGAAGTGTTTGTTCTCTTGCAGTTTAAGACACAATGTAATCCATCATGGTGGGGCAGGAGAGGTGGCAGGAGAGTGAGGCAGCTGGTCACTTAGTACAAGCAGTCAGTAAACAACAGACAGGAAGTGGAACCAGGTCATCAAACATAAAGGCCTGACCACAGTAATTGACTTCCTCCAGTAAGGTTCCACCTTCTAGACCTTCCACAACCTTCCAAACTAATGCCCTCAACTTGGGACCAAGGGTTCAAACATATGAGCCTACAACGAGCATTTCACATTTAAGCCACAGTGAGTTATCATACCACCTCCCAGCAACTGTTCTTGTCCTAAGGTTGTGGGTCGTTTACACTGGAAGATGGTGTATTGCAAGATACAAGAACAGGATCTAACCCTTAATGATAACAGACAGGAGCTCACCCTTCATGACAACTACATTGTCTCTCATCATTCTTCCAAATATCCTTGTCAAAATTGTCTTCCCAAAGGTTTCAGTGGGAGTGGATGGGTTTATATGATCAAAATATATTTATTATTGAAACTGTGAAAGAATAAATTAATTAAAAAAAATTTTCCTTTTCCAATGGCCAGCATAAAATTTGGTAACCTATGTTCAGAGTCTTGGGGACTATATCAGTTAAGATTAGGTTTGGCTGTTGGTCATGGTAAAATAAAATGACAAAGGATCAAGGGAGTTGGAAATTTCACATTCTCCCCCTTGACTGAACATCTGGACATCTGGGAAGCACAGAGCTGACTAGTGACTCTGCTCCATGGAGTCCTTGGGCACGCAGCCCAGTTTTTCCTGAAGTTTCAGCAAATGTGACCTCCATACCTGAGACCATCTGGTTTGAAATGGAGCCCCAACTGTCATGATTACGTTCTAAGCAAGGGGACAGAGATCGGGGTTGTGGAACTCACCTCCAGGATATTCCCAGAAGCTGCAGCATGGCTGGCACTTTGACCTTCCTCTTTCCCCTCCTCCAATTGCGTTAGTGGAATGGCTGCACTGGCCCATAGGAGAGCTTGAAATGCCTCCTTTATTTAAGAATCCAAGCACCAGTATGAATATTCAGTTGCTAAAGGAAAAGAGGAAAATGTTCCCCAATGGGAACGTTCAGCAGTTTCTGCCAAGGGACTTACTGAAATTTCACTGAGCCAGCTATTAAAATATCTATAAACCTCAGCTATTGCCACTGTGTCATTAAGAAAGAGCACACCTTGGGAAAATAGGCTATGTGTCTAGGACAGGAGAGGGTAACTAAAAGAGGCTTTTCAGAGGGCCAAGGGCAGGCCTACAGATTGTCATCTCCATGGGGGTTCCCAGAGCCCCTGGTGCATGCATGCATGAATCTTCAGTATTAAGAAAGATGAATGTGTGAAGTAAGGAAACAAGACCCAGACTTCAAGTGACTACATCATATAGCAGATGAAGAAAAAGTATTTAAATTCACTGCCATTTCTTCATGTAAAGCAGGACTCCATTAGAGATGCTCAAGGGGACTGGGGAGATGACTCATTTGGTAAAATGCCTGCTGTGCAAGCATGAGGACCTGAGTTCAGATTTTTAGCACTCATCTAAAAGCTGGGCATGGTAGTACATGTCCATAACCTGTGCATTAGAGGGTGGGGGGCACCAGACAGAAACAGGCAGATCTCTGGATCTTGCAGGCCAGCCAGTCTAATCAATTGATGAGCCCCAAGTTTAGTAAGGTCCTGACTTAAAAAATGTGAAAATCAACTGAAGACACTCACCAATGACCTCTTGGTCTCCATGGGCATGTATACACATATACACACTTATACACACCTGTACACACAAAGGCTCAAGGTTCCAAGCAATATATGTTCTCAAAAACCGTGTGAATAAATTTCTTTTGTAAAGTGGATCATTTAAGGGGGGGTGGAGAGATGGCTCAGTGGTTAAGAACATTTGCTGCTCTTGCAGAAGACCTGGGTTAAGTTCCTAGCACTTATATGGCAGCTAACAGCCATCCATGACTCCAGTTCCAGGGGATCTGTGGGCATAGTACACGTGGTGCGCTTATATACATGTAGGCAAAACACTCATGCACATAAAAATAAATTTAAAAATTGTAAAGTGAATCACTTAAAAGACAAGAAGTGGGGTAGCTACTGTTTAAAAGACTCCAACATGTTTGTGACACAAAGAGTTATGTAATAAAAACAGACTCCTTATTTTATGGTAGAAATCTAGATTTTTGTTGACTAGAAGATGCTTTTTTTTTTGAGACAGGGTCTCCCTGTAGCCCCAGCTGTCCTGGAACTCACTATGTAGACCAGGGTGGCCTTGAACTCATAGAGATCTGCCTGCCTCTGTCTCCCGAGTGCTGGGATTAAAGGCGTGCGCCACCACCCCCAACAAAGATGCTTTTTTACTAACGCATCTACTGTGCTTTGGATCATGAGGTTTAATTTTATGACAACCTATGATTTTGTTAATATCACAAATGTTTATGTAATTGAACTAATGCTATTTCTTTGTAGAATGAAAATGTGAAGGATGATGGCTTTTCAGTGGAACAAAACAACTATGACCTCACACAGATAAGTCTCAGTCAAGGTGCTGATCGGCCTCTCGAGAAGAAAACAGAGTCAGGGTAAAATTAAATCTTGTTACTGGCAACTCTATTTAATCTTTCATCCTTGGATTTTAATGAGAGTAACTGCTAAGACAAACGACTTTATATTTATGCATATAGAGTAATTTTTCCCTCCAGAGCATTTTTAAAGAATAGTCAAGAAGCCATTATAGAGTTCCCTTAAGTTCAATAATATACCATACCTCAGTTGCTTCCACAAGCATATGCGTGTGTACACACACACACACACACACACACACACACACACACACACACACCGGGGGGGGGGTTCCAAACATATATTCTTGAAAAATGTGTGAATCAATATTTTGTAAAGTGAATTACTTACAAGACAATATATGGATTTTTTCTGAACTATTCTGAGGTGAGAGGTACTTATTCTAGTTCTCCTGCATGGTAAAGGTACAACTATGCAATGGTCCTCCAACTGCTGGGCTTGGATGATGGCACTGAGCCCAGTGACAGGAATCCTGTCCTGATGAGAGGGGCATACTTGTCTTTTCTGTGTCTGCGCCACCTGCACATCCGGGAACTACAGGTATGAGGGTAATTTGGCACACTGGATTCAAGAATTGGAAACATCTGGTTGTGGAGAAGTAGGGGCGTTCCTACTCCTCAGTAGCGATGCATTTTCATGGTTTTACTCTTTGGCTTTTTTTCTGCATGAAATCAGCCCCTTCCTTTCTCCATAGTAGGGTTAACCTGTCTCCTTGAGGTCCCTTATTAAGTTTTTCTCTGTAGGATAGGTAGGGCAAAGCAAATGGCAGGGTTATAATTCTGTTCTTTCTCTGTTCCAGCGCATCTGTTTGGGAGTTCTGAACTATTTCAGATCTGTTGAGCGAACTTTGACCATTAATACTTCAGGCCTTACCTTGGTTTCAGGGAACCTGGTCCCTACCATAGAAGATAGTTCTTGGGTAAATATGGTAAAAGGAGGCTTGGGCACCTGTCAAGGCCTAGGACCTCAGCACTATGTCCACAGGACACCTGCTGAGCACAAGGTGAGCTATTCTGCTGAAATCTTCTTTGATTACCCTGTCTCCCAAGCCACTTTTTCTTAGTACCTAGAATCAGTTAACATGATGAAATAACAGGTGGGAAGTCACATTAATTAAAAAATAAGCCAGATTCAGAAAGACAAATATTGCATGTTTTCTCTCATATGTGGAATACAGATTTTTTAAAAAAGGGAGGCAGGTTAGTAGAAGGGTAACCATTTGAATGTAGGGGACTGAAGGGATCGGGAGGAACAGACAGGAGAAGCATGTGAATATGATCAAAGTACATTATGTATATGTATCAAAATATTATAATGAAACCCATTCTTTTGTACAGTGAATAAATACTATTAAAAACGCAGTAAAAGAGGAAATGACTTCCTAACTATAGCTAAACATAGAATGGTGACTGTCTGCTGTAGTCCCAGAACTTGGGAAGCTGAACGGGACGAGCTTGAGTTTGAGACCAGCCTAAGCTACGTAGTGAGACCCTGTTTCAAAAATAAGCAAGTGGGGCTAGAAAGATGGCTCAGCAGTGAAGAACACTGGCTGTTCTTGCAGAAGACCCGGATTCAAATCCCAGCACCCACATGGCAGCTAACAACTGTCAGTAACTCCAGTTCCAGGGGATCCGACAGCCTCTTCTGTCCTCCGCGGGCATTGCACGACACGGGTGCACTTACCTACATGCAGGCAACACACGCATAAAATAAAAATAATAAATAAAATATTAAAAATATAAGCAAGCAAGCAAACAAACAAACAGCATTCATTTGAGAGCAGGAAGCAGACAGAGCGCATCCTAAGAGCAGCTCTGGAGGCCCAACAGGAAGGAAGCAGTTGAAGCCTGTGTTGTTGACTTCATAGTGAACAGCTTGAGGGACCCTTCCTGCTCTCCTGGACTGAGACCCACATGTTCTTACTGAAACCTTTTAGAAGACTCTCTTTGTTTTTGTTTTTGTTGTTTTTTTTTAATATAATTGTTTTATTATTGTCATAGGGTTTCTATAACAAGTAGATAATATTTACATCATTCTTAGCACAGTGTTAAAAAATGTTTGTGCTTAGAGAAGACTCTCTTTGACACTGAGAAGTACTTATTTGTTCTTGTCATTCTTGTTTTCAAGCCTTTTAAATAAGACAGCAGATGAAACCAAGTGTGGTGATTCATCCTTACAATCCCAGTGCTCAGAGGTACAGATAGATCAGAAGTTCACGGTCATCTTCAGCTCTGTAGTTGGAGGCTAACCCAGGCTACATGAGACTATTTAATCCCTTCTCCCAAAAGGTACCGAGTTAAGCCAGGCATTGTGTGGCATACATGCCTGTAATACAAGTAATCTAGAGGCTGAGGCTCAAGGACCTTGAATTTGAGGCCAATCTGGGTTGTATAGTGGGATCATCTCAAAATGAAAAATTTCACATCTGCAGAAAAAAGGCAGCAGGCTTCTCCTGACTGCTGGGTCTTGTGTGTGTCTCCTCGGTCATGGGAACCTGACAGCCCATGATGTGTTTAGAGTCTGCTGGGGCTTGGTGTGCTGACAGCAGAGGCTGTTGAGAGGAAGTGGTGGGAGGTGAGGCCTCCGGAAAGAGTGGGCCAGAGTCTAGGCTTTCCTTAGATGTGGGACAGTTCCAAAGATGGTGGGAAATGGAGAAGAATTTTAAATAGGAGAATGTCTCTCCTCATTGCTTTGAGCGTTTCTCAGGATCTTTGTCCAAATGTAATCGTGCCTGTTGTTTTGCTGGAAGTCCTTCATGGGCCTATTTCTCACCAGATAAATTCTAGCTTCTTGGTGACATTTACAAGGCTGAGCAGTCTGACCCTCGCCAATCTCTTCTACCTCATTTCTCTCAACTCCCCCATATGTTCATCTTATAGAGTGAGGCCATCTTGATGAATGGGCAGAGCTGTTCATGCCTCTGGGCACCTCTGTTCCTCTCCTTCTCTCTCCTTGGTAAATGCCTACTCTGATTCAAGAAGCCATTCCAAAAAATCTCTTCTCTGGGAAGCCTTTCTTTACATCTTAATGGAGAACAGAACTCCTCCCCATGAACAAAACTGACAAATTCCTGCCATCACAGGTCTTATCTCATGGTAAGAAACAGATTAAATAAATACTTAATGTGTATGAAATGTACAGTGATTTGACTCCAGTTTCCTCAGACTTCCTAACCCTTGCAGTTGAGTGGGGCTGTGACTAGCTTTGGCCAGTGGGCTGTGAGTAGATGACCTGTACCAGTGTCAGTTCACTTAGGAGCTGGTTCACACCCTCTGGCTGTCTTCCTCTGCTTCAGTCAAGGTGATGGTCATGTAGTCAGATGGAAACATCCTGAATCATGGGTTGCTGCTGGAGGCAGCAACCTAGAGAGTGACTGGTCCTTACTGGTTCTGCATGAATGAGAAATTTACCATCAAGGCCACTGCCCTTTGGAGCGCTTGATCACAGGGTAACCTAGACTTTGTGGATGACTGAAGATTGTGATGGTACTATGGAGGAAAATTAAGAAAGGCCAGTCAGTGCTCTTGGAGTTGAGTAGTGGATAATAAGTAGGTGAAGGGGAAAGTCTTACAGAGAAGGAGCTACTTAAGAAAAGACCTGAAGGAAATCAAGAAGAAAATTGACTGGATGAGTGCCAGACAGCTCAAGTCAGTGCAGAAGTTCCAGGCAGGACTGTGTCCAACCCATTGCAGGGACATCAAAGAGTTCAGTGCGATGAGGGTGGACAAAGCAGCAAGCAAAGAGACATGAGGTGGAGGAACATACTGCATTTTGTGAACCATGATGAGGACTTTGACGCTGAGTGAGAAAGGGGCCCTTATAGAGTCTGAACAGAAGCATCATATGACTTGACCATTTTACCACTCACATTGTTGTTGTAGGGACAAGACTAAAGGCACTTTAGTGCTTTGCACAGAGTCTAGATAGGAGGCCATTTTATTAATCAAACCAGAGAAAATGTGTCCGAGAAAGCAGCCAGGTAAGAAATGATAGATTCTGAGTATAGAGTCATTTGCCATATAACCATATTTCAATCAATGATGATCATTGGTGATCTCATAAGATTCTTGTAAGCTGAAAAGTGCCTAATGCATAATGGCATTGTAATGTAATAGGGCATCTTCTTGACCATAGCTATGCCATGTTAAAGTTTAGGCTGACTCTATTCTCTGAAATTATCAGGCAGTTGGCCTAGGGTATGGGAACACATGTCAGCTGGACCATGGATGTTTAGGGAGCAGGTCAGACTGTCCCAGAGTGCACCTGTTAACTGCAGATTTATGGCTTCTGTAGGTTATGCTTGGCTTGCTTTTGCAAAATAGTAATTGTTACTTAATATAATAGAAATTGTTAAGGGGGCATAACCATCTGGTTATGGTTTCTCTATATAAAAGCTTACCCTAGAGATGGCTCGGGGCTATACGCTTGTGTTCCGACACCCCTGTGTAGTAGCCCTGGCCAGCAATGACTTTCATTTGGCAATGAGTGGTCTTCTCTGGTGAGGCAGCCCACAACAGTAGCCACTGTAATGGCAGAGTGTTTTTGCTATAATGCTGTAGCAAACCTGCTTAGATGGTTCAACATGCAAACACCACTGTATTCTGAGTGCCTGCTACATTCAGTATAGTGAGGTCCTATATAGATTTGTAGGCCATAGGAAACAAGCTATATCATATGTGTAGCAGATTATCCTATTTAGATTTATGTACGTATATTCTATGGTGGTCACACAACAATGAAATTACCTAACGACACATCATAACAAATTCAGCATTAACTAACACATGTATGTATTTTAAAGATACAGCTAAAAATGGTTTCCAAGCAAAGAAGTCAAGGTTGATTCCAAAGTTTTGACCTGAGCATTTGAAAATTTGGAGTTTCCATCAACTGAGATATGACTAGAGCAGATTTATTGAGGAGATCAGAATCTCGTTTTAGGACATGGAAAGTTTAAGTTTCTTGCTAAATGTTCAAATAGCAAAAGGAAATAGAGACCTAGATATATATCTTTCATACAATATGCATTTAATAAATGTTCATTTGACAAAACAAAAGCTCTGTTCCTAACACAGATTAGATTGTAGGAGGCCTGTAGACAAAAGTGCTTTGTGAAGTGCATCATGCTGTTGAAATGCAGAATGATTAACTACAATAATAAAATTATACTTTACAGACTAGGAGGAAAACGAGCAAAAGATGTCTTTGATCTTTTCTAAAGATTGAAGCCCTGGGCCAGAGGGATGGCTCAGTGGGTGAAGGCTCTAGTCACTAAGCCTGATGACCTGAGTTCAATCCCTGGAACCAATGGAATGGAAGGAGAGAATGGACTCCTGCAAGTTGTCCTCTGACCTACACACACACACACACACACACACACACACACACACACACACGCACCTTGTGGTGCACACACACACACACACAGAGAAATATTAAATAAATTTTTAAAGGTTAGAAAAAGATTGACTCCAATGAGTCAGTTTGTTTATTAAACCATTTTGACTGGATTTTTAGGCTGAACTACTATTAATCTTAATGCAAGATGATTTAGGAAAATGTAAACTAGTCAGATAAGTACTAGGTACATTGCCAGAAGGCCTGAAATTCATATTAATGGTGGTGGTAGAAGCTACTTAGGGAGAAAAAAACAATGGTGGCCTCCAATTGCCTGTAGTGACTTTATTCAGAAAATAGTTATCTTGGCATCAGTCAATATTCAGACTTAAAAGCAAAGCACATATGAATCATTTCAAAGGTCATGTTATTTCTTACTCAGACAATAATTATTGCCTTCCCCTTCCTGCCATTCCTCCAAGAACAATATTAGAGGGTCAGTTTTCTAGACCACAAAACTTTTAGAAGGAAGGTTTTTCATATCATGAAAATCTTTAAAATGAGATGGGGAAACATGATAGTAAACTGAGCCACAATCCCACATGGAAGAACCTGGCTGTATTAATCACCTTTGCACATCTGTGGCCAAAATTCCTGGAAGGACACTTTCAATAATGGTTCTCAGGGAGTGTTAAATTAAAAATGACTTGAATGAAATATGCCTTGTGTTAGTTTCCTGGGGTGACCACAACAAGCTGCTGCAAACTGGGTGGTTCACAGCAGAAACTGACTCTCAGAGCTCTGGAGGCTGTACAACCAAAGTCAAGGTGTTGACAGGACCACGCTTTCTCTGAAGGTTGCAGAGGACATCCTTCCTTATCTCTTCCAGCTTCTGATAGTTGCTGGCAATTCTTGCCAATCTTTGGGTCTCCTTCTCCCCCAGCCCTTCCTCCTTCCTCCTTCCTCCTCTTCTCTTCCCCCCTCCCCCTTCATCCACTAACCCCTCTGCCTCCTTCTCCTCCTCTTTCTCCTTCTCCTCTTAGTACTTGGGAGTTAAACCTAGGACTTCATGCAAACTAGACATGGGCTCTATGTTGAACTACATCTTAGCTCTTCTCCCCCACTTTAAATTTTTTATTCTGAGACAAGTTCTCTTTAAGTTGCCCAGGTTGCCTCCAGCTTGTAATCCTCCTATCTTAGCTTCCTGGATAGCTGGGTTTACAGGTGTGTGCCACTGTGCCTGGCCATCTTGGCATTTCTTGACTTACAGATGCATCATGCTAAGCTCTATCTGTGTCTTCTTGTGAATTTCTCTTCTCAGTGTCAGTTTCCAAATTTCCTCTTTTTATAAGGACTATCATTGGATAAAGGCCTAGTCTAATCTAGTATGACTATATCATAATTTGATTATGTCTGCAATTACCATGCTTCCAAATAAACTTTCATTCATATATTTCAGATATACATGGATTTGGGGGACATTATCCAGCACAGTATATTATTATTAAACCATGAGATTATGGGACTGGAGAGATGGCTCTTGATGGTTAGGAGCACCAGCTGTTCTTGTGGAGGGCCGGGGTTTGAATCCCAGCAACCACATGGTGACTAACAGCCATCTGTAACTCCAGTTCCAGGGGATCTGATGCCCTCTTCTGTCCTCCACGGGCATTGCACAACACAGGTGCACTTACAAAGATGCAGGCAATACACCAAAAACATAAAATAAAAATAAATAAATTTTAAAAACATGCAATTGCTAAT